TGCCCTTGAGGGTTATAAGGAATGCCAGTGGTATGAAGAATATTCCAAGTGGCACAAAATTGTTGGAACTTAGCAGAAGTATACGTAGGCCCATTATCAGTTTTAAGGGCCTGGGGGCATCCTATGGTTGCAATGGCTTGGGTAAAATGCCGACAGGCATGAGTAGAACGTTCCCCAGAAAGGGCTGTAGCATAAAGAAACCTAGAACATGTATCTATGGACACATGGAGATATATTAAGTTTCCCAAAGGGAAAATAGTGTGTTACATCCATTTGCCATAATTGATTGGCTACTAGACCACGTGGGTTGACGCTAGCAGTAAAGGACGTGGGAGAAAAAACATTGGCAGTCTCTTCGGGGGCGTGGGGAGGGTGTCCGGCAGCGTCGTCTGGACCCCCCTCCCTGCCGCCGCGGCGGCGACCCACCCCGCTTTGGTGCGCCCGCGACGGAGCGGTGGGGCCTCGCGCGCCCGTGCGCCGCCCACCCCCCCCATCACCCAGGCCCCCCGGGCGAACGCCGGGGGAAGGCGGCTGCCCGCGTCCCGCCGAGGGCGCCTGGTCCCTTTCCCCGCCCGGGGTGGGGACGGGCTGCTGCGGGGGCAGCTCCGCCCCGCCCCTCCTCCCGGAGCCAGGGTTAACTGGCGGGTCGCGCCGCAGCAGCGATCCGGATCTCTCGAGGAGGAGGGGAGGGAGCGAGAGGGAGGGAGGGAGCATAGTAGAAAATTGTAAAGGAAGAAGCTGTAGGGTAAGGCGACAGTCTTTCTTAAAATGCCCAGGTTTACTGCACCCAAAACAGGTGACAGTGGATGGACAGAGAGCTGCCGCTAATGCTTGTGCCTTATGCGTTTCTGTGCCAACATTCTGACATGTTCTAATCATTTCAGCTAAATTAGGATTCTGTGCCTTTAAGGGGGCTAAAACAGCCCGACAGTCAGCATTAGCATTTTCACAAGCAAGCTGGAGACAAAGAATTCCAGCTGTTTGTTGATTATCTACCTGTTGGAAAATGGCAGATTCAATTAAAAGCAGAAGTTGGGTAAGAGCTTCTTCTGAAACCTTAAGCTTAGAGGCCTTTAACAATCCCAACAACTGGGTTTTGTGTTGATGCTGCTCAGGAGAAAGAGAATTCCCCATAGCGAGGAGGAATAGGAAAAATGAAGAAAAGAATGATAGGAAAGCTCCTGGCCTGAAGCCTGAAATCCCTTGAGAGCTCATGAGACAGCCTCGTTGCTGTTGGGCTGTACACCCAGCCTAATCTGAGAGCGTCCAGATAGACCTTGTCACCCTTGGGCTATAAACCTAGCCTGAGTTAAGAGCGTCCTGGAAGGATCCGGTTGCTCTTGGGCTATAAACCTAGCCTGAATTGAGAGCGTTCGGGAAAGCTCTGCAGAAAGCTCCGCCGCTCTCGGGCTGTCACCCCAGCCTGATTAGGACGCGTCCGATACTCACCCCCTAAAGGGATTTGAGTGCGAGGGCGTTTGCAGCTCCGATGAAGATCCCTCACACGGGGCACCATCTGTCGCAGCGAGCGGCAGAGACAGTAACCATGCCACAACTCTTACAGAGAAGTGGGGCCAGGAGGGTCACTCTGAGGAGTCGACCCCGCTTCAGTCCCAGGAGTTTATTTTATAGTCAATACAGCAAGCAGTAAAGCAATTAACAGAACAATGGGTTTAGGGTGAGTAACAGTAAGTTTTGGGCCAGGGAGAAGGAATTCAGGTGAAGAAGCCAATCAGTAACAGGGCAATAGCTCTGGGAAAACAAGTCATGCCTAATCTCATTCTTATCGCTGACAAGTCTCCAACATGTCGTATACAGCATAGAGGCCTGTGGGGGCTGCGGTTGTCAATAGTGCAGCCATGTTTAAATGGCGTATATCCCACAGAAAAATACAATAATAAAAACAAAACACTCGCTGGAAGGGCTCAATAGTGTGCAGATAAAAAATGATAGAATCCATGAACTTGAAGACAGATGCACTGGATTTACCAAGTCTGAAAAACAGAGAGAAAAACAGACTAAAAAAAAAAAATGACAGCATCTTGGAGCTATAGATAAACCAAAAAAGAGCTAAGATTTGCATTATCGTTCCATAAGCAGAGGAGAGAGAGACTAGCTGAAAAAGTATTCAAAGAAATAACAGCTGAAAACTTGCCAATCTGGTGAAAGACATAAACCTATAGATTCAAGAAGCGGAGCAAATCGCAAGTATGAAAAGCCCAAAGAAATCCACACCAAGACACATCATAATTAATCTTCTGAAAACTAAAGACAAAGAATATATCTTTAAAGCAATCAGACAGAAACGACGCATCAAGATGGTGGAAACACCAACTTAAATGACAGCGGGTTTCTCACATCTGAAATGAGATGACAAAAAAGGAGAAGAAAGTGGCACAACATTTTTCAAGTACTAAAAGAACTGTCGACCACAAATTATATATCCTGCAAAAATATCCTTCAGCAATGAAGAGGAAATCAATTCTGGCAAAAGAAGACTAAAAGAATTTGTCTCTGGCAAACCTACCCTTGGAGAATGACTAAAGAAATTCATTTCTCTAAACAGAAAGGAAATGATAACAGAAGAAGGCTTGAAACTTCACAAAGGAAGGAAGAATACTGAGATATGTAAAAATAGGGGCAAATAGAATAGATCTCCTTCGCATGACTTTCTCAAATTACATTTGATGGATAAAGCAAATATAACACCATCTGATGAGGAGCTCAATGTACATGGAGGATATATTTAAAACAATCATATTTAAAAGGTGAGGAGTCCTGTAAGACAACACATAATACCGGGGAAGCCAGCACAGCTTGTACAAGGAAAGGTCATGGAAGCTCCAGAGACACATCCAAACTCCATGAGGGACTGAATTACTGAGTTGAGGGCTGTGGGGACCGTGGTCTCGGAGAACATCTAGCTCAACTGGCATAATACAGTTTATAAAGACAATGTTCTACATTCGACCTTGGTGAATAGCATTTGGGGTCTTAAAAGCCTGTGAGCAGCCATGTAAGATACTCCACTGGTCTCACCCCTTCGGGAGCAAGGGAGAATGAAGAGAACAAGATACAAAGAAAAGATTAGTCCAAAGGACTAACAGACCACAACTACCACAGCCTCCACCAGACTGAGTCCAGGACAGCTAGATGGTGCCCGGCTACCACCACTGACTGCTCTGACAGGGATCACAACAGAGGGTTCTGGACAGAGCCAGAGAAGGATGTAGAACAAAATTCTAACTCACAAAAAAAGACCAGACTTACTGGTCTGACAGGGACTCGAGAAACCCCGAGAGTATGGCCCCCAGACACCCTTTTAGCTCAGTATTGAAGTCACTCCCAAGAGTGATCAGACAGCTCCATAAAACAAAATGAGACTAATAGGGCACAACAGCTCAGGGACAAG